AATGGAGGTATTGCGTGCATTTAATGGTAACGCAATGTCGCTCAAAATTGAACTGCGTAAAAATACACTGCAAGTCATCATCCTAAGAATTCCCATGTTGAACTCATTGAGTATTCCCCATTTCCTAAAACGTTAGACCTCATCTTTAAACTTAGTGTTCGACTTTTTGGGTTGTCAATTTTAACCTTCGTAACTTTTGAACCATAAGAGATAAGATTTCATATTTAGACTAATAAAGTTCTTTCACCCAACTTTATTTTTTTCGATTTGGCCATAACTTTTGAACTATAGGAGATAGGGACTTCATATTTGGTTTGCCTACTATCTCATCTATTTCATGTTTGAAATTTAGTGTAGAAAATCTGTGGTGTATACAGAGTTACAAGTTATCTTTGGATCAACGAAAAGAACACACAATGCATTCATCTTTTCCATGCGAACTAAAGACCATGGATAAAGAGTTTATACATCACACCTACTCCTTGAATTGCACTTATACACGAACATGATTTTCAATCAATCCTTATTCTGATATACGTGTCTAGAGAAAGAAATGATTACGTGAATTTTATATCTTGTTTAACTACTTCTTACCTGTTCCCTGAAATGTAGAAAAAGACCTTCATTAAACCTGAAATCAAAGATTATCAGGTATAGCCTAGAAACTTGTTCGTGAAAATTATATATTAGTCTCAGGGGATTGCAGATATATTCATGTAAATGGTTTTTCTACGTTTTGAAATTTATTTTTGCATACTCAGTTTCTGTAGACGTTTATACTGAAGATGTTAATATCATTCTTGTATCAAATTCTGATGAGAAGCTGGTTACAGTGAGTCGAAACAGGACTCTTCTGCCTTCTAGCCATCAATAAAAGAATGACCTGATTAGAGGAATCGCGCAATATACAATCAGAAGCGTCTTAATATTACGTCCCTTTGCAGTTTCTCGGTAGACTTGGTGTTGTCCTCTCAGAAATCTAATGAATCCTTTACTACGCAGACTCCGAACTGGTACATCACGTTGAGGTCACAGGGCAAATGCTCAAGTGTCAAACAAGAACATATAACATTTGCCTGTTCAGTACCTTGAGATTCCTTGCTTGTCAAATATACATGTATCAAATTTGATACACTGGTAATCCTTAAGGAGAAGATGACCTATTTTTATTTGGAAGTCAGAAGGGTTGAGTTAAAGTTTCAATTTACTCTGGACATCATTCAATATTTAAGGAACTCTTCTTGACGGACATCAAACTTTGTACACTAGTAAATGTTCCGTTTGAGAAGATATCGAGGTCGAGAATTCCAAAGGCAATTCTGTACTCTATACAAGTCAACTTATAAGACAACTTATAACTCAATACATAAGAAAGCATTGTCCGCTCAGTATTTTTAAGAGCCCTTTGCGTCACCGACACCAACTTAGATAACGGTTCCCTCTAGTTGGGGCTCTTAAAAATACTGCCCTCTAAGAGGTAATTGTTCTCTAATAGTATCATGGCCACAGATCAATTGACAAACTTCACTGGACATAAGAAAACACCCTCCACTTTAGCTGCAGAACTGTAGCTCTCTGAAACCAGAAGTCTCTGTCGAGACTGAAGCTCTACTGGTCTGTACTTATAGCAAAGGAAGGGAAAAGTACTTTAGCAGTTGGGAATTGAAATTTTATAACAGCAATAAATAGAATAATGATCCTTGATTAAGTCTCTTTATGTTCTTAGTGTAGTCTACTTGCATGCCGCATTATATTATAATCAGACTAAAACTGTATTTGGAGTAGCATTTTGAGAGTATTTAACAGAAATTTCTATCTTTAGTAACCAAGGCAATAATGTTCATCGAAGTCAAAGACCAATGAGCAGAATTGTGTATCTTAGTGTAGTCTACTTGTGTGCCAAGTTATATTGAAATCAAACCAAAACTGTAGGAGACGTAGCATTTTGAAAGAATTTCACAGAAATTTCTATTTTTTAGTAGCCAAGGCAACACCGTTCATCAAAATCAATCAGAAGTCTCTGTCGAGACTGTAGCTCTATTGGTTTATACTTAAAACAAAGGAAGAGAAAAGTAGCAGTTGGGATTTGAAACTTTAAACCAGCAATAAATTGAATCAAAGTACTGAGACAGTACTGAAAGACGGGGTCAAAATATTTTCATGCCAGATTTTTTTAACGAGTTTTGATAGTTTTTTAATAAACATACTAAAGACAAAACTGTGAATAATATATATTTGCGTTTTTCATTTAATTTGAGGTAGGAATTTCAATAATTGCTAAGTCTTGAAACCTTTTTAAACTGTCCGAATTTCACCTGGTCCGAATTAATATTTTTCCGGAAGTAAACAATGGATGATGCGTACGCAGTCGTAATACTACGCAGAAGAGTACTTTGTTTACTAGTGTGTTTTACAATTAATATTTTGAGTTTACATTTACAGAATGCTTCAACAATTTGATTTAGAAAAAAGGTTATATCACTTCCTTCAGTTTGATACAGAATGTTTATATTTTGATCAAAACTATTCCTGCACTCTTTGATATAGCGTAGATTTACTTCATGTGTTATCACCACGGCTTCCGTTTTGAGGGCTTTGACAGTAAACTAATAGACGGGGTCACGTGACCACGTGACCCCGTCTAAAAATGATCCTTGCCGCTCATCAAAATAAAAACCGATGCACAGAATTATGTATCTTTGTATGTTAGTCTTCTTGTGTGCCAAGTTATATTGAAATCGGACCAAAACTGTAGGAGGAGTAGCATTTTGAAAGCATTTCACAGAAATTTCTATTTTTTTAGTAACCACAGCAACACCGTCCACCAAAATCAAAAACCGATGCACAGAATTATTTATCTTAGCGTAGTCTACATGTACTTGTGTGCCAAGTAATATTGAAATCAGACCAAAACTGTAGGAGGAGTAGCATTTTGAAAACATTTCATAGGAATTTCTATTTTTAGTAACCACGGCAACACCGTTCATCGAAATCAAAAACCGATATACAGAATTACGTATCTCGTGTAGTCTACTTGTGTGCCAAGTTATATTGAAATCAGACCAAAACTGTAGGAGGAGTAGCATTTTGAAAAATTGTTTACAGACGGACGGACGGACGCCGGACGCATTACTATCGCATAAGCTCTTCTGGTCTCTGACCAGTAGAGCTAAAAATATAGATTGTCAGACCGAAGAGCTACGATGCCACTCGTTGAAAAAACTGTATATTCATTGCGCACAAAAATGCGCTCTGTTTTGGATTAATTCTTCCAAATTTTTACCTCAATTGCAAAAAGCTAGATTTAAAATAAAGTCATTACTCCTCTACGTAGTTTGCATCTGTACGAAGCGCGTTTGACCGAATTAACTTGCAAACCAAGATGGCAGTATAAATAGGTGAAATTTTCGATGATCTCAATTTCAGGACCAGGAGGGATATTAAAAACAGTAATAAGGAATGTTTTGTTGTGGAAACAGCGAAAGAATTCGTTAGGAACACACGGTTAGTAATATTTGAGATGATGGGTTTAAAAACTTCGAGAAACGGCGCACTTTTTGTGCGCAATAAATACACAGTTTTTTTTCAACGGGTGGCACTGTAGCTCTCCGGTCTGTCAATATATATCTTTTTGGAGAGCTACAGTTCTGCAGCTATGTCTAATTATGTGTTGAGATACCATTTGCGTCACAGACATAAGAACTTTCAGCACCGGTACCCCCTTTACATGAGTAAATGATCCCCACGCTTTTGCAAGACTGGATTTAAAAAAGACAAATATTTTTCTTTGCCTGATAGAAGCCAATCTGAGTATTGTGATTGGCCTTTCCAAGATAAGCCATATTCTTCCACTATCTTAATAAATATTTTCAAATTGAGAATTTTTTAAATACTGCAATAAAGGGGCATGTATTTTGTTGAGAATGTTTCTTATTTGATTGATAGATTTTAATATAAATTCTAAATTGCTGAACATTCAAATATTATTATTCTTTAAATTTATCAACTCTGGATGGTTTTCTTTGATCATTTTTCACACGGAAATGATATTGTTTTAAATTTATTAAAGTATACTTTGATGTTCTTCAACAATGTATTCATCCTTCTGCAAATATCTGCTTGCATGGTCACATTTCTGGTACATGTACACGAAAGACTGAAAACATTGATCTAACAAGGTAGAAATTTGTTATGGTCCAGCATCTAAAACAAAGCCTTGAGAGATCGATGTAGACTTTATGGAAGACAGCAAAGAAATCTTTTGGATTTAGAACTTCATCTTTTCAAAGGCTTTAAAATCCAATAAATGAAGGACCCAGTCAGCAAAAAGATATCACTACAAGACTCGATACACATTGATGTTACAACGCATTGCATTTGTTGAGGAGTTCAATTGATGCTTGCCTTTTGAAGCACTTCCAAACGTGACACATCAGTACTCAATCGACAGGAAAATCTACATAATGACGTTAAATTCAATAAATTGAAGGACTTTGGGTTAGTCTGCAAGTTAAAACGTCTTCATTTTCTTTATTTTTGAAATACTGCTACAAATGTTACAAGTAATTTTTTTTTCTCCTTGTACAGTTAAGTCTAAATGAACAGAGTACTCATTTCTCTTCACAAAGATAACAATGATTAGATAAAAGCCTCAGAAATAGATACCATTTTTGGAAGAACTTGGATGAGTGTAATTGTTCTTGGCCTCTTTGCGCCTTGACAGAGCCATCATACAAGATAGAATATTAGTGGACATGATGGATTTTTGGTTGGGTATCTAATGGAGGGTGATGAGTGTAATTTACATAATGTCTATGTAAACTGACGATAATATATATTGTATAAAGTTTTCTTTTGTCGATTCAGAATTTTTGAAGCCGCGGGCTACGAGGGAGAGCAAAGATGCACATGTAGGTAACTATTTAGAAAGTGCTACTGGACTACTGCATATACGATTGGCTATGCGCTTATCCGGGAATCGATAAACCTAGAGGTAATCCGTAAACACTTGTATATCAGAAAGACTCTGATAGTATTTGAATTATATAATTGTAAGCAACAGCGATATTCGCCGAGAATTTTCAACAATATATTGCTATCGCCTATTCTACTCGGAAATCTTTAAAATTATTTTTAAAGACTTTTCTCTGTTTGCAGAAGAAACAAAGAGGTGCGGCTTGCTGAACTGAACAGAAGCCCGTTCTAAGAAAATGGAATTTTAAGATATGTGATTTTTTGTGCGATTCATTTTATCCAAAGCGCGATTTTCTGGCGAATACTAAGTTTCATACACTGTTATCCATCTTGGACGTTTGCATTCAAAGAGTAAATCTGAGCACTGACGCATAACACTCTCAAGGTAAGATTTATTTTTATTTGATTATATATATAAGCAATATATTGCAAAGCAATCACTTTTCAAATTCTTGTCTTTAAAAACAATAATTTTTCTGACAGTTTGCATGTTCATGATGGTAAAAATAATGTACCGGTTTTTTTTTAATACAAGAGAAAATACCGCCGAGCATGTTTTGTAACAGTTCTAAAAAATATCTCAGTTTTAATATTTATTTATTGGGATTTTTTGCTGATGAAAGATCAAATTTACAGACTTCTCAGTAGTATTTTGTTATCATTGTGTGTGGTGTTTTATTCTAAGCGAAAAAAATGAATGCTAGCCTATCACGTGACTTTCTTGGAAAGTAGTATATTGGATTGTACTTTCAACGACAGATTTTATTCTATTCATCAGAAGTGCTAACCAAACCCTCGCCATGTGAATATTGCTCGCCAAATAGAATCAAACCTTAAAGGTTGCGTTTCCTCAAGTAGCTTGTTGTCTTGCTGTGGGTTATTTGCACAAGGGTGAGGCTCCGGTTAAGGCCTGCAGACGTATGATAATAAAAAGTACTTAAGGCAAAAGAGATTTCTTTTTACCCATGTTCGTGCTTAATGTAAAAGAAATCATATTCAATAATTCCATTTAATTATTATCTTTGTGAGGACATTCTACAAATATATATACTTCACCGGATGATGCTTTTTATTAACAAATGCAACGTATTGACATAAATAATCAAGATTTGTAAGAGCATACAACATTTAAGTACTTATTATTATTATTATTATTCATTTATTCCTAAACGATGAGGAAAAAAAAATAAAAATTGGCTTCGGATTCAACTTGAACAGTGCTAAGATCGTATAGTCAACAATAGGTGTTCATTACACAGTAAGTTGTTTGTAAAGCCAATGTATTTTTTTTTATTTAAAGTCAAAAGGCTTATTGTGCACTTAACTTAATGGAAATTCCTTTCTGCATAATTTAAAAAAAAAGTCATCTCCAAAGCCACATTACATAATTATCAAAGAGATTTTTAGTTGAAAGGGCGCTCAATACTATCCACACTTGCATGTTTTTTAAACACTATAAAGAAAATAGTAAGTTGGGTTATGAAATATTTCTGTCGAATAGCAGTTTTATAGAAACTATGGTTAAGTACTAGTATTGTATTTATTTTTCAATTTCAATTTTTTGTGGTCTCTTTTATCTTCAAACAGAATAAAGACAGTATCAGAGAGAGAGGGAAAACTTTATCGAGAAACCAAATATTCAAATGCAAAAGTCCTGGCGTTGTGTTAAATTGAGCGATGCTTTTGTTAAAAAACTTGTTTCATTTGGAAGCATTCCAGTATCTTTCGAGGGCTTGAAATTACTAAGTCATCATATAATCATTACGTTTGATAAAATAATACAGATGAAAAAGTCTTCCATCGATTTTTTTAAAAGTAACTACCGTTATTAAAATCTTTGATGCACCAGTTAAAGGCAATTCCTTGATTACATTCTTGCCTGGACTTCAATGACGAAAATCTAATGTATCCAAGAACATTTTTTTTTTCATTTCATCCCATTTCCAAATTCCTTCGCTGAAACTCACTTTAAATCAATATTTTGAATTTCAAACATTAAAAAGTGGGAAAATTCGAATTTTATTGAATCAATATTTACATCTCATACATTGCTATTTTTGTTCAGTTTACATAGATGCTTCTACTATCTTTATGACTTTCATATTTTTGGAATTAAATTTAGCTATGCTGTTTACCAATTCAATCGTTAAATTTTAATAAAAGTTATTTATCGACCATGATGAAAAGAGAGTGATATTGTAAAACAAACTGTCTGCCCTCAAATAAACTCAAGCTGTATACTCTCTGTCGCTTCAAAATAAATATCTGCGTTAATTCAACTCTTCATCAGGGAACAGGTAGCTGAGCCCACATTAGGAACTATTGACATCGGGGATCATTATATCTGCTGATAATTGAATAATCCAGTGCTCTCCTGTCAGTCCTTTTGTAAATTGGATAATAATTCCACCTACGAAATATTTAATAGCTGACAGGGTATAGCTACTGAAGAATAGAGCTTCCACGACAGAGCAAATTATACTGTTTATGCGCCATGTTCTTACCTAATAGATCGACAGCTGCAAATCGAATCTGTGTGGTGTGTTATCAAATCTATGCTCCCTTTTTATCGCCAAATTTTATTAGCTTCTACAGTGATTTCTTAGAGGGGGTCGATATCCTTAGATTTTTTTCTTCTTTTAACACTTTGGTTTATACAACGAGAGGAGGTAAACCAGTGGCTCCGTTTTCATTGTAAAATTACTGTGCCGCTAAACTAATAGTGCACGGGAAAATGCATGTTAGAAATTATAAATGCAACTGATAATGGCAATTATGTGTAAAACAATTCTTGAGACTTGATAAGAAAATCTATACTTTCCATTAATTCAAAAAGGACTAATAACGAGAAGTTCTAAATTATGTCATTTTCTTTGCACGGAAATCGGTTTATGTGAAACAAATATTTCTACATTGAAACGGACCAACAGCACTTCATGTTTGTTGGTTATCAGTTTACTTTATTAGCTATTTCACCGAAAACATTATGAACAAAGTAATCTGGACCATGCTTGATTTGTAAAAGAACAACCATTTCTTATTTTTGGTGATCAAACTTCATGATAAATTATCCCACGTTTCTACCTGTCGTTAATGTCCTTTGCACACCCAACATCCTAGATAGTGATTCCTTATAATTATAGTTAATGTGAAATAAAAGTGCAATTATATAAAATCGAAAATGCTATCTAACGTAACACTATTCCTATATATAAACAATTTTAAAGTAACGTTTCTTGTAGTTGCATTATAATATTACAGAGGACATCACAGTGTTTTTTTTCTCGCGGATTTGTTGTTCATTAGCTTAACAAAAAAAAAAAACAAAAAAAAAAAGGATGCAATTATGTGACATATGTAAACTTAACTTTTGCTAGAAATATCTGTCATTTTCACTGTACTTTAATATAAGCCTCCAGCAACAATCATATATAAATGTTTCCCCCGCACTTGTCACTAGTCACTTAAAAACATACTTTCTATGGTAAAAAAAAAATTGGTAATTGAATATATTTTATTGGAAATTGAAAATTTTAATTTCATAGGAATTATTATTATTTTTATTATTATCATTATTATTTTTTTTTTAGAAAATCGCATCAGATTTGAATTTCTCCAGTAATCAACAAAAATACGTACTTATCAGTTTGGCATATACACGTTAGTACCTTCTTTTCAGCTCACGCTTGAAAAGTGGGGGATAAATTTGGGTTTGTCCGTCCGTCCGTCCGTCCGTCCGTCTTTCTGTCTGTCTGTAACGCTTTCGTTTCCACACGATATCTCGAGAACCCTTTGAGCTTTTGCAATGAAATTTTGCATAGCAACTCCCTATGGACTACAGAAGACCCCTATTGATTTTGAGGTCAAAAGGTCAAAGGTCAAGGTCATAAATAAGCAAATTCTGTCTGTTAAAACACTTTCAAGAACCACTGCCAGACGAGATCAAACTTATGAACCATTTGAGCTATTGCAATGAAATTTTATATAACAACTCCCTGTGGCCTAATGAAGACCTCTATTGATTTTGAGGTCAAAAGGTCAAAGTTTTACATAGAAATATATATTCTGTCTTTGTGTAAACCTACTACCATTTCATGGAAAGCTGATATTTATATGAAGATTTTGGTCTTATGTAATTTAATTTTATACCAAAACTCCCTAGGGTCTCTCGCCCCTCTCCACAATAGCCCCGCCCCAAGTTTTACATAGAAATATAGTATTACATGTAAAAATTTTTAGAGCAGGGGCATGCCAGGAGAGTTAAACTTATATAAAAGCAGGTTCTCGGCGGACTTTATGTTCTTATTACATTATTAGAACTGATTAATAAAGGCTAAATAGATCATACACCATGGATTGTGTAAAATTTTTAGAATATATATATGAAAACACGAATATATACAATGTGACTTCAATTCTGCATATACTTCACAGTGCGTAAAGCGATTCCGTGGTCTAGTGGTTATGTCTCTCGCTTCAAGTTATTAAAGGTCATGACCTCCTCGGTGGATCCTACAATTTTTTTTTAAATACTTTTTTTTTTACATATGAAATATAAATGAAAAATTTATTATATAAAATCATCATTACAGTGTGATAAATATTCCATATAAAAAAATCTTCTATACACATAATAAAGAATAAGCAATCAAATCTTTATATGCATATTGACATACATGTACATGTATTTAATAATTCTACAAATTCAGTTAGGGGGATTCGACTTTTTCCCAAAGCGGGGGACACGAATTCTCTGAATTAGCTTGTTTTTTTCTTATCGATTTGAGGTATCTACCGGTAATCTTTGCCTTCAGTTAACACTCTCTGAAGGAATTGAACCTCCTGAAGATTTATCAATTTTTCTCTTTCTCCCTCTCTCTCTCTTTCTTTCTCTCTCTCTCTCTATATATATAGTATTCATTTAAGCTAATAAAGTAATAATGCTTTTGTATGTCCTTTTCATAATAAACGGATTAAATTTCAAAATTGAAATCGCCTTTTCATATTCAACATATTCCTGAAATGTTTCAATAATTTCAAGAGTTTCGAAGTGTGAATCAAAACCATGCATCAAAAACACAATGGAATTGTATTCTGCTTTTAATCCCAACGTGCTATTGTCCTAGTCCCTATTCATATTTTTGATTTCGACTTCCGTCTATCATCCTGGATATTTGTAGAGCTATATGTGTTTTCATCGCAAGATAATGACTGCTTTGCATTGCTGCTGGTTCCAAATACGGCCCTCTCTATTTTGCCACACATGGGATTTAAAAGCAGCAATGACACGCTCATTATATTATCTTCTCAGCATATCTCGAAGTTCCATGCTAAAGAAAATGGTAGATTTATTTGGCATGTTTACGACACATCAATCAATTTATA